ACCGCTGTAGGTCAGACCTCAGACAGAAACTCAAACACTAGGTTAGATCTTAAATGAGACAGAACACAGGAAAGAGATAGAGTGCTTGGTGGCATGGTGTAAAGATAACAATCTCTCCTCAACATCAGCAAAACGAAAGAGCTGGTCATTGACTTCAGGAAGCAAGGTGGAGGGCACGCCTCTATCTCCATCAATGGAGCTGAAGTGGAGATGGTCAAGAGTGTCACGTTCCGAGGATTGATGATCACCAACGACCTATTCTGGTCCACCCATGTTGACGTGATGATCAAGAAAGCACAACAATGCCTCTGCTTCCTCAGGAGGTGAAGGAAATTTGGCATGTCTATAAAGACTCAGGCCAGTTTTTATAAGTGCACGTTGAAAGCATTTTATCCAGGTACATCACAGCTTGGCAACTGCTCTGCCAAGGACTGTAAGAAACTACAGAGTGTTGCGAACGCAGCCCATTCCATCTCGCAAGTGAACATTCCACCCACTGACTCCATCTATACTTCTCACTGCCTTGGGAAGGCAGCCAACATAATCAAAGACCCTCCCACCGCAGTTATAATGCCTTCCAACCTTTTCCGTTGGGCAGAAGATACAAAAGCTTAAACACATGAACCACAGATTCAAGAACAGTTTTCCACAGCTGTTATTAGTTTAATGTTGATCTCGCTCTTTGTGCACCTTCTCTGCAGCCATAATTTTGTATTCCTCGCTCTGTCCAATCACCACCTTTTGTATGTTATAAATCTGCCTGTACTCCACACAAAACAAAAGTTATCAATCAATCAAATCACGCTGGAGGGAATGTCTTTGTCAAAGCAGCTGAAAGTAATAATAAATAATTTAAATAAAATACTTTTTTTAAATTCCTGCCTTGTTGTGAATGCAAGTTCTTCAATCTGATTAATTCACCAACCTGCATTCCCTTATTGCTAGATTTCTTGCGAAATGAGGCTTTTCTTTTCTGATTTGAGTTTTCTTTGTTTTATCCATTCACGGGATGAGGGCACCGCTGGTTAGGCAGCATTTATTGCCTATCCCTAATTGTCCAGAGGGCAGTTAAGAGTCAACCACATTGCTGAGTGTCTGGAGTCACATGTAGGCCAGACCAGGTAAGGATGGCAGTTTCCTTCCCTAAAGGATGTTAGTGAGCCAGATGGGTTTTTCCTGACCGGCAATGGATTTATGGTTATCATTAGATTCTTAATTCCAAACACTTATTGAATTCACATTCCACCATCTGCCATGGCAAGGTTTGAACCCAGGTCCCCAAAACATTAACTGGGTCTCTGAATTAAAAGTCCAGCGATAATACCACTAGGCCATCGCCTCCCTTAATGTGTCTGTGCTAGTAGTTATTGCATTTTTATGTCCTGATTTCTTGGCTTTTTTGTATTCAAAATGTTGTTGAGTTATTTGCAGCATACTGTATTTGGAGTATTGAACTAAACTTGGTGGACCAAATTAATCCAGTGCATTAAAGCTCAAAGCATCACTTGATTGGAAGAGTCTGTGTTTGTTCCCATGATCTCCTACATGTTTGAGTATCTAATTGACCATGTCATTGTCAAGTGAGAGGAATATTTTGTATGCTTCTGCCAATTATATCTGGGTTTTTTATTCATTGTTTAATGAATATGCATTATATGGTCTTGTACAAGATTGTCTGCTCTATGATGCTGCCACCTAGTGTATAAATACAAAGTTAAAGAATTTAGCCAGGGATTTGATCTTTTCTTGAGTTATAAAATATAGGTTCTGGATAGAAAAAGATGAAAATCATGCAGTTGAGTCCCTAAACAGACCCAAGATGATGAACTAAGAGATTAGCTGTGTGCTCTAGTCTTAGAATTCTTTTACTTGATCACAAATACATTCAAAAATTTTCTGGAATTTAGAATAAAGCAAGTGTGTTGAACTTTTCATTGTTACTTTGCTACCCAGGTGCCTTTGACAAATGGTCAGACGTATCAATCTTCCAGAGTTCCAATTAACTGCAACCAACCCCACCACACAATGTCTCAAGCAACCATTGGGAGACATCCTTCTAGGGAACAGCTGATTGATTATTTAATGCTAAAAGTATCACACCAACCACCACACTGTCCAACACAAAGTGCATCGGCAAACCATTTGATGAGACAAAGCCGTGATATTATACAGCAGGAGGTAAGAACTAATAGTAGGTTCTCCCTCCTAATAATCCTATTGTTTTGTCTTTTTCTCCCTTGCCCTTGTTACATTCTCTATAGAGACCCAAACCTTGTAAAAAGATATTTGAATCTCCAGTATTAGTGGAAGGTCCACACTACAAATTTTCAAGGTTCAAGACATCTGCTGTAACAAACTGACTAAAAGAAACAATGTCTAACCACCATTCCATAAGCAACTTATACTCAATACAACAGAAAAGGTCCTCCTATTTAACTTCTAAAGCAATCAAAATTCCTCTTACCTTAAATAGCGCTCCATTCTCCAGAAACCACTTCAAAACTATCTCAGCTCCCTGTGCCTTGCATCATTTCCCTTTTCCATTGGGTAACTTCAAATTGTTACACTGACTTTTCATGGTGGGGTTACCCTGGTAAGTAGAGCTTGGTGAATCTTTCAACTTTGTTTAATTTCTCAGAAACCTGTCTCTTCAGTCTGAACATAGGCCTCCTCCCACATCAATTGTCAAGCAATAGACTGGCTATCTCTGTCTGCTCTTTTTTTTCCCCTGCTTTCTTCTCTTTCATGCACTCATGCTGTCGACTAACCATCTTTATGTAGAGATTTTAAACATTTTATACCCGGTTCTCAATACAATAACCTGGGCCCCTCCTGTATCACCACTTACCAGGTACAGTTCAGAACAGGTTATATGATCCTTTTTAACTTAACTCTGAGATAATTCCAAAATGTTGCGATCTTACAAACTTTGTATTTGTGACATCTTCCACTTCTGAAACTGACAACTGATACCAGAATATTGTTACATGGGCCATAAATATCTTCATTTATCTTGCTTTGTTAATTAGTAGACTGGATTCACAGATTCAGAAATCGTGAATCTTTTCCTTTCACAGCCCTTTGTCCAGGAGCATTAAAGCTGATAGTATTCCCACCATTACCTAAACTGAGATTGACTAATAGCATACTTGTGAATAAACCTTGGACTTCCACAAACAACATAAACAGAAGTTGCTGGAGAAGACCCGAAACGTTAACATAGAACATAGAACATTACAGCGCAGTACAGGCCCTTCGGCCCTCGATGTTGCGCCGATCTGTGAAACCAATCTGAAGCCCATCTAACCTAAACTATTCCATTATCATCCATATGTTTATCCAATGACCATTTAAATGCCCTTAGAGTTGGCGAGTCCACTACTTTTGCAGGCAGGGTATTCCACACCCTTACTACTCTCTGAGTAAAGAGTTAACTCTGATTTTTCTTCACAACTGCTGCCAGACCTGCTGAGTTTTTCCAGCAACTTCTGTTTTTGTTTCTGGTTTACAGCATCCGCAGTTCTTTCGGTTTTTACTTGGACTTTCATAGTCTGGAACACACATCAGTCTCTCTCATCTTATGTGCAGACTTGAGCACTTCTATGAAATGCAAATCTTGACCTTTTGAGTTTTCTCAAGATGTTATTATAAATTTAAAGCTTAAAATGAATTCAAGGAAAATTTAACAAACAATTTAACAATAAAGGTTCAGTACTGGCTTTATACCCATTGTAATTGCCTGGTATTGCTGGTAGAAAAAAATCATTTGAGGTGACTGAAGAGCTTGGAACATATAGAAGTGTTCATGACTGAGAGACTGACAGAGTTCAAGTATTTGATGGAGAGTTTTGAAATATTTATGAAATTTGTGGGAAACCTTTGTGCTTCAAGTTGTAATTTGCCATAATGTATTATAATTAGGGTCATTATTTCTTTGAGGAAATGCAAACTATTCCTAGTAGCAGACAAGACTTGTGCCCACGTCCCAGAGGTACAAATGATGAAAAAGATTTTAATCTACTTTGTTTTTCCAATTTCCCTCTACCCTCTCAGTTTAAATTATAGATGCCAAGTTAAATAACAGTAACATATTTCAATTTACTTAAATTGTTTCCTTTATCCTATTTTCCAGATGCATGTTAGAATAGATAAGAATCCTGAGCTGGGTTTCAGTATATCTGGAGGTATTGGAGGTCGAGGGAACCCTTTCAGACCTGATGACAATGTGAGTATTTTACTATGTTATTACTTCCACTAGACATGATAACTTCTAGCAATCCAAGAAACTTAGTAAGTTTACAAAGATCACTGAACCTTGTTTGATTAGAATTGCACGTGATGTCTTCAAAATTCAGTGTCATAAGTTTATTATGATCGGTTCTATTTGTGTGTGTTTCCTTGTAATTATTAAAGGTTAAAGAAAATATACGTTTAACTCTGTTATTGTTTGTTCATTATTCAGGGTATATTTGTAACTAGAGTTCAACCAGAAGGGCCAGCTTCAAAACTGTTGCAGCCTGGAGATAAAATAGTTCAGGTAATTTCCCATTAATCTTACATGATCCTCTGATCCCTATATCATCTTTAAAAAATTGAAATCTTAAGCACTTGCACTAATTTATACTTTCCCACTTTTTTGCACGTGATTTATTTTATTCTGTATTTTGCACATTCTCATGCACATGCTCCAAATGAGATAAAATTAGATTTTTTTCTTCGTATTTCTTGCCTTAAAATAATCGCCAAATGTTAAACTTAATCAGATCAGTTATAAATTAGTTGGGCAGAGTAATTACACATGGAGTTTAATGTGGACAAATGTGAAGTGATACATTTTAGGTCAAATGCAAGAAGAAAGTATACATCAAATGGCAAAACCCTTGAGACAGAGGAATCTTGGGGTGCAAGTCTGTAGCTCCCTGAAAAAGGCAACATGGGTGGATAAGTTGGTAAGGAAGGCATAACGCGTGCTTGACTTCATCATTTGGGGCAATAAGTATAAAAGTTGGCGAGTTATGTTGCAACTGTATGTAACGTTAGACGACATTTATGTTATTGTGTGCCACGCTATAGGAAGGATGTAGAGGCTTTAGAGAGAGTGCAAAAGAAGTTTTACCAGGATGTTGTCTGCATTAGAGTGTATTAGCTATAAGGAGAGGTTCAACAAACTTGGATTGTTTTCACTAGTGTTAGATGGCAGAGGGGTGGACTGATAGAAGTATGTAAGATTATAAGAGGCATGGATAGGGTGGAGAGTCAGAGTGGAATTATCAAATACCAGGGGGTATAGGTTTAAGGCGGGAGGGGGAAAGTTTAATGGAACTGTGAGAGGAAAGCTTTTTTACATAGGGTAGTGGATACGTGGAATGTGCTGCTGGGGAAGTGGTAAAAGCAGGTATGACAGCAAATGTTTAATATACATTTAGACAGACAAACGAACAGGCAGAGAATAGAGGGATATGGACCATGTGTGGGCAGATGGGATTAGTTTAAAATGATATCATGGTCAGCACAGACATGCTGGGCCAAAGGGCCTGATCCTGTGCTGTATGATTCAATGTTCTGTTTTCTTAATCATTTACTCTGTCAATAGTGCATTGCTTTTCTAATATCTTAAATGATTACTTTACTTTATCCAATATTACCAGCTTAATGTTTGTATTGTTAAATTTGTGCTGTTGTGGAAAAACTTTGATCCTGAATTAGTATTCGAATAGCACAAATTTAACCAGTGCTAAAGGGCTTTCTCCATAGCATTGTTTAATTTAAAATGGCATCCATAATTTTACTTGAATTTCTGGTTTTGTATTATACCTGCTATGCTTTCTATGATTACTAATGTACAAATCTATCAGCAGCTTTCTTCTGAATCCTTTTACTTAGATTTACTTTGTAAATCATATTACATGTAAATGGCTTTGATCTATATACATAGAACGCCTTTGAGAATCATGACACCATTTTTTTTCCAATATTGTGTTTATTTTTAAACTTCTGAATACTACAAAACCAAGTTATTGGTTGCCTCTTCCAAAGTGCTTGCATATTTGGTTCATGTCCTGATCTTGTTTGTTGTCATCATCTGGTTCAGCCATGTTGAACCATTGCTGCCCCTGATTCTTCCACTGTTCTAGGATCATCAACAAAAGCAAGGAAATCAATAACCCCTCACTGGACAAAGAAGAACTGTCTTATCTAGTCCTTTCACCTGTCACTTTCTCTCTCCCCTCCAGTACCAGTGTTCATGGATTTCTAATATTGAAAACTATGTGCACAAGTTGTCACTGCTTGCACACTGCTACATCTCTCAGGACACACTCCTAGCCACTTTGTTAGAAAACCTGAACCTCTCATGCTTCCAATTTTTACCCTCCCTCTTTCTATCTCTTCCATGAGATCACACTCTGCTTCCTTGATTTTTCCTTTCTTTATGCAACTTCTGACCCCCAATCTGGTAATGTCTTTTTTTCTTCGGCCCTGTTTGATTTCATTGTGGCTCTCAAAGGCTATCAATGCTGCTCCATCCTAGCTGACCTTGCCCAACATCTTGCCATGGAAAGAGGGGATGACATTGAACAACTTGGACAGTAAGTTTTTCTACCAGCTTAAATAGACCACTGCTACTGAAGTGGTCAAATGCCTTGATGAGATTGCTGCAGGCAATACAAGCAGTCTCTTTCCTTCATATCTGTTGCAGCTGCCAGACTGAGAAGATCAAGTCAATGGTAGAGTTTCCAGTTCTGAAACAAGAGATCACCTAGGAATGCAATTAATGCTGGCCAGCCAGCAATGTCCACACTCCACAAGTGAATAAAAAATAAAACTCGAGAGCCCAGAATCAGGGGTCACAGTTTAAAGATACAGGTGAACTTGTAGTATTCTCTGCCATGGAAAGTGGTGAGGCCAAAACTTTAAAGGTTTTCAAGGAGGAGTTAGATACATTTCTTCGAGCTAAAGGGATTAAAGGGCAGGAGGAGAAAGTGGGAACAGGGTACTGAATAGTATTTCAGTTGTGATCATATTGAATAGTGGAGTAGGTTCAAAAAACTGATTGGCCTACTCCTGCTCCTGTGTTCTATGTTTCTGTCAGGAGACAGCTTGCCCTCTTAGACTCACAGAAAGTGTGCAGCACAAAAGAGGTCATTTGGCTAGTTCTATCTGCACCTGCCCAGGAACAAGCCACACGGACTAATGCCACTTCACAGTATTTGGTCCGTAGTCCTGCAGATTATGGGATTTTAGCTGCATGCCCAGCCATCTTTTAAATGGGTTTAGGCTTTCTGCCCCTACCATATCTATATACTATACAGACATATAATTATTGAGAACACATCACTTAACGTCAATGACAGGTTTCACAGTATGATGGCCTCTAGCTAGTCAGCATTTTACAATGTTGTTTTCCATATGTTGAGAGTGCAGCATTGGAGATACTTTGAGAAACTATGTTCAGTTTCATTTCTGTGCTGTGTGTGAAAATGCCAAACAGTGCCTGTTCAACTCAGTCAAGAAACTGTCTGTTATGGAGTAAGCAGTATGAATGACAGAATGAAAAACTTCAAGGATTGCATTCTAACCCTGATACACACCAGAGACTATGACAAACCATGTCACAGTCAGCATTGTGGCAGCTGTTAGTGTTGAGAATGCTGTTCAGAAATTCATGACTGGTGCTGATCAAATCCATTCGGTGCCTTGATCTTGGATTTCTCCAGCTGAACTTGTATTGCAGTTTGTTCTGAAAGAAGGTGTTAGTTACATAAAATTAACGGTAGCAGCAAAGCTCAAGTCATCTCTGTCCATTGTTATTTTTCTTTCGAAGACTTCAATCCTCAAGGCAAGAGGGTCACGCTTCAATTTGTGTCCACTTTTGCAACTCTTGAAATCCCCTACTAGGTAAAGATGGGACTTTAGTCTTTGTGACTATGCTGATTGCAATGTCAAGCTCTCCATGGAGCTGGTCTTTTGCCTCTGCAGTGGACCACAACATTGAAACATAGATACTCATTAGCTTAACTGGCCCTGCTTGTGCTGAAAGGAGAATAGAGAGAGCACATTCTGGACCATTTGTGTATGGTTCGAGCTTAACATCCATCTTATGTACAATGCTAGAAACTATTACCAAGTACATGATGACATCTCTGAGGCACACAGAAATTATATGATTGAAGAGGCTCTACATGTATGAAAGGAAAATAATGTTTGACAACTGTCAGTTTTTTGAGACTGTAACAATCAAGGTAGATGAGGAACTGGTGAATATATGGTTCATTTTCAGCTTGCATGCTGCAACTAGTGGACTATTACATTGGTTAACATCTGGGCTTCAGCTATTTATAATTTATATCAGTTTATATGAAGGGACTGAGAAAGATATATACAAGTTCTACTGATGGGAAAAAATTAGATGGGAAAGTTAACTGTATGAGGATGAGAAACTGTATGAGAAATAAAGAAGTTCTCCACTTTGATGGGAAAATTAGAAAAGCAGGATATTTTTAAATGGTAGGAGACGAAGGATGTTGGCATTCTGAGGGACCTGGTTGTCCTTGAATATGACTCATGGTAAGTTAACATACAGGTAAAGCAAGCAATTCAGAAAGCAAGTGGTACGTTTGTCTTTATTTTACTCCACTCCTTTGTAATAGTGAATAAACCTTTTAGCAATAGACTTATTAATCAATGAAACAGACAACAGAGGAACACATTCCAGTGTCTTATTTCAGTAAAATTGCAGCATCTTAATTTTGCAAATGAATAGATTTTTGCAAACTTGGATTAGATTTTGCTGTTTGTACTTTTTTTTTGAAGATTATGTATTAATGGGTATACTTCTTTTACAGGCAAATGGATACAATTTTGTTAAAATTGAGCACGGACAAGCAGTGTCACTATTAAAAACCTTCCAGAATGCAGTGGACTTAATTATCCTGAGAGAAGTTGCATCTTAATGATGTGAATCATGGACAAAAAAGAAGAAATCAACCATTGTGACCAGTTTTGTTTTAATTAAGTAATTCCATAGCAAAATGCAGCTGATATCACTTTTTACTGGGAGTTGGGAGAGGGATCAATGGACTATAAAATGGTCAAATAAGTTTAGGCTGTAAAGTAATTTGTTGGCAGTGTAGAGCTTTGGTATAAGGGGCACAACCACTCTGTATAATGGTAAGGGTGTGGATCCAGGGACTGAAATAGATTGTGGAAGCAAATATTGCAGGGTGAAGAATTAATATAGTAAACATCAAAATCACTCTTAATATGAACAAACCTGTGTGCTTTTCTGTACAGAATTTAGGTTTATTTTTGGATAATCTTATACATTACTAAATAAATTGTACAAGGCTTAAGTAGTGAGCCTGATTTTAGCTTACGAACAGGTGGCAGGGCTATCTGTTCCATAGATGTATGCCTTTATTTTTAATCACCTTTGTATAATTGTTAAACGCTGAAACCTATGGGTTTGATGTACAGGAGCTGGAAAATGGATGTTTGTGCATTGTTTAGACGAATGGGTAGGTGAATGGCTTGAGCATATACAATAAAGTGACCTTGCTATGAGTAAATGGTGAAACTGCATATGGGGCTAGGTTGCCAAAGTGTACAATAGTGTGGTTACATGATGGAGAAGTTATTATTCAAAGTTGGATTGGGAAAGGAAGAGCAAATGAAACCTGTCTGTCTGAGATGGTCTGTTATAAAAAGTATGCTCTGAAATATGGTCGGATTCTTAAGGAACAGTTATTCAAGGTTTCTTAGTGTTTTTACAAAGTGGGGATTGTGGTTATGCTGTCTATTACTGTATGAGAATGTTATTTTATTACACTGTTATCATTTCTAGTACATTTGGCCAACATTTTAAAAAACAAAACCTTTCTATCTTTACTAAAAATGGGTTTCATTAACAATACTGATGCATATCGGTTAATCTTGTGTATTACAGTGGAAGTGCCATAGGAGACCGAGAATTAAGTTTTTAATACAGATTCTACCCATGCAAAGAAGCAATACTGTCTGTATATTTAGAGAAAAATCTGAATTTAGTACTGTGCTTATCTTTTAATCTCAATTCCCTGTAAAATTTCTATACCAACTTGAGCATTAAATGAGTTGATTTATTTTATCAAATGTACACTCAAGATTATTTGAATGAAACCCTGTAAATGCTCCCGTGATGGTGCTAAAGGCTATTTTCGTTATGTTGGAATTAAATTGATCAATAAAGTTGCTCTAAGGGTATAGCAGAAATATTTGTATGTGTCAGCAGAATGAAAACCTCTTGGGTATCTTCTGTATTTTGCATCAGCCCATGGCTTCATTTTTCTTGATCATTGGTATTCTGTAGCAGCATTCCCATATGGTAAATTGTATAAAAGTTGATTGTGTGTGTTGAAAGTTTTAAAAAAAATTTTTTTTTTATAAAATTTGACACCAGGTCACAAGCTGTGTTGATTGCTAACTTGGTATTTTAAAAGATTTTTACCCACAGTTTTAGGCATGGTGTTTAAAAGTGTGGAAACAGCTTTAAAGAAGTAAAAAAAAATTGTTTGGTCTGATAGGGGAATGATACTGTTCAGCTGCATGGTAATACTGTAACAGAATTTATACTGAAAGAATAAATTATATTTCAATGAAATAGCCGATTAGTAAGAATTGAAGTTTTTAAAATATTTTCTTTCAAGTTAGAATTGTCTTTCATGAACTCAGTGAACATAAAAGTACCATTTGAAATCTTTGCATTATGTGTACACTTTCAAATTATTAATTTGTTGGGTCAAAAGACCTTTATTAATGTCACATTTACTTGAGCAATTTTCATATTCTGGATTGATGTATGTGGAACCTGTAGAAATGATCTTGAAGTCAAACTTAAAACAATGCCAGTAAATTCATTGATTGGACTGGATCAAAGCAATGCATGTGATACCAACTATTTGACAAAAGTAAGGCAAATTCTCACCGTTTTTTTTAACCAATATCATAGAATCATAGAAGAGCTTGATTTCAAAGCAATTTGTTTCTGTTTCCATTCTACTTTGTTAAACATAAAGGTTCAAAAAACATGTTTTATTTCTGTTCACTGGTTTACAAAGCAAAGCTTGATATTAGGCCAGTCGCGTCTAAAGTAACCACTGGATCACCGTGGATGGTCAATCCATGAAAGGTATAAATTAGCTGCCTATGTAAACCAGAAATAAGTTGGAAAGTCTTGAACATTCCCTAATATTTATTATATAACTTATTTATTTTAAATGGTTTCTTATGGACTGCAGATTTCAAAAGTTTGTATGTAGTTGAACATATCCTTGATTAGAACCAATTTAAAATGAACCAGCAATAGCCACTGTACTTAACTCGGTCCCCACAGTAACATTGATTATATTTTGAACATTGCCTTTATATTTGAGGAAAACAGTAATATTTGAAAAAAGCTGCATTTGTTCAACATTCCACATTTTGTACATAACTAGATGGTTTCTGACATAATCTATGGTAATTAGGCTAATTTAATGCTGTTTGCATTCTGATTTATTTGTACAGTTTTAGTTTTAATGAAGGCAGCCTGTTGTATATGAAATCTTAACTGGTCAGTCAAAATTGCTGTGTCCCACTGACAACTGAAACTGATTTATAAATCCACTTAATTTACAAAAATGCAAACTGCTTCTTTATGTTCCTCTTGTGGTTTATTAAAAAAAAATCACTCACTTTATTTGACCACATATTGTGTTTTCTTTTCTAAATCTTGAAGTAATTTCCATACTACACAAAAGCGCTTCATGGTTGCATTCTTATCCAAACAGGATTCATTGTTACATTAACTATATGAAGTGTACTCCATAAATAGTATTGTCAGTTAAAAACGTATTCCTAAAACAACAACTTTGAAGTCAAGTCGCCTTTCAGTTATACTTATAAATTCCAGTTTTTTTATACATTATTGATTTGGGGTTTATTACCTTAAACTATATTTTATTAGATCTCACAGTTTAATGTTTAATATAAGCTCAAAAGCAGAAAATGATATGTTCCTTGCAGTTGGGTTCATGGATTTTTTTTTATTAGTTAAACAATACATTTAATAAAAAGAATGCTTCCTGCCTATTCTGTACATTATATATAATGACTACTTTATAACGTTTTGTTTTGGCTTTGCTTCATCTAGCGCTCATGTCCAAGTTCTCAAGGTGCAGTAAACATTTAATCCAATGCAAAGATAAGTTGTTAAACTCTGTTTTAGTACATGCCGCACTGAAATAATATCGTGGCGTTACTGTTCTGTTACAACAGTGAACAAAGACAAGACAGCCTGAGAAGATGGCAACAGTATGCATCACCAAACAGGCTGAAATAATTCTGGTTTTGATATGATTACGCAGCAGTAAATGTTACACTGGATTGTGTGCGAACATGGGCTTATCATATTCATTAAATTCTCTGCTGACTGAGTAAACTTGCACTCGATCTTATTAATGTACAATGACCTGTTTAATCCTAATCAAATCACTAGATGTGTAATATTGACCGTAAGACATGCCCAAATGCATTCCGTAAACATTGATAAAGTCATTAAAATCTTAAGGTCTTTTTCAGGTAAGGTAAAATGTGCATGCTATCTTAGATAATTGCATTTCAAGGTTAACTTGGCTAATCAACTTGACTAATTCTATCTACTAATTAAGGTATGAGGGAGTTATCAAGGTACACCAATTTCAGATTCTATTTGACATGCGGTTCTCTCAATCTATCTACCTTTAAAGAGGACACTGGTAGAAATAGTCAATAGTAGCTATACAGTGGGACAGAGAATAAATAGGGAATTAATAAGGACATGTAATAAGGATAGTGTAGTAATCTTCCATGGTCAGATTGGCAGAGGTAGCCATGAGGAAGAATTCATTGAGTGTATTTGGGATGTTTCCAACAATATGTTGCAAATCCAGCCAGGCATCAGATTGTTTTGGATGTGATGATATGCTAAGTAATGAGGCAGGTTTAATAAATGATGTCAGAGTAAAAGGTGCCATAGGAAACAGTGACCACAACATGGTAGGGTTCAGTTTGAGAAGGAGGAACTTGGTTCGGAAACCACTGTGGTAAGCTTAATTAAGGATAATTACAAAGGGTTGAGTGCAAAGCTGGCTGGAGTAGATTGAAAAAAAGAGTCTGCTAACAAAGATTGCTGAGGAACAATGCCTGACCTTAAGAAAATAGTTCATGACTCACAGCAAAGACAGATTCCAGTGAGGAAGGAGGATTCTAGGAAGGGGATAAGCCAACGATGGTTAAACAGGGAAGTTAATGATAGCATCAAATTAAAAGAAAAAAATGCAATGTGGCAAAGATTAGTGGTAAACCCAAGAATCAGGAGTGTTTTGAAAACTACCAGAAAAAAAAGGGAGAAGGTAAACTTGGAGTATAAACTTGGAAGTAATATCAAGACAGTCAGCCAGAAATTCTTTTAATATATAAAAAGGAAAAGAGAATCACAGTGAACATAGGTTCCTTGGAGAAGAAGGCTGGGGAAGTAGTAATCGCGAACCAAGAAATGGCACAGGAGTTGAGTGAATACTTTGTTATCGGTCTTAGCAGTAGAAGACACTGTTAGCATTTCAAAATGGCTAAATAACTGAGGGACAAAAGAATAGGAAATTAATGCAATAACTATCACCAGAGAAAAGGTGTGAGGGAACCTAATGGAGGTTACAGACCAATAAGTCCCATGGACCTGATAGGATGTATCCCAAGATATTAAATCAATTAGCTACAGAGATAGTGGATTCTGGAAAAGTCTCAGAAGATTAGAAAACTGTCAACTTAATATCTTTCTCTAAAAAAGGAAGAAGACAAAAAAAAACTATCAACGAGCTATCATACCATCTGTTACTGGGAAAATGCTAGGGTCTGTCATAAAGGCTGTAATTGCAGAGTATTTAGAAATACGGATAGTCACGCTTCAGGAAGGAGAAATCATGCCTGACAAATTTACTGTTGGTCCCTTGGAGAATGAGGCTGCAGAGGTAATAGTGGAGAAACACAGAAATGGCAGAGTCAGGAAATCAATATTTTGCTTCAGTTTTCCCAGTTGAGTACACCAGTACTATCCTGATAGTAACAACAGGTAATGCAGTGGTTATAGAAAGGGAAGAACGTGGAACAATCGACAACACTAGGGAAGAGATACCGAACAAACTATTGGGATTGAAGGTAGAGAAGACCCAACGGCCTGATGACCCACATCCTAGATCTTAGAGGAAGTGGACTTATTGGTTGTAATATTCCAAAATTTCCAGATGCGGGAAAGGTTCCAATGGAAAAATTAGAAAAATGTTGATATAACACCCTTATTTTAAAAAAAATCAGGGAAGGAGGCAAAACTTAGGAAACTACAGAGAAGTTAGTTTAACAGCTTTTGTTGGGAAATTGTTGGAATCTGTTATTAAGGAAGTCATACAGGATGTTTGGAAAGTTAAAATGCAATCCATCAGAATCAGCCTAGTTTTATGAATGGTAAATTGTGTTTGACTAATTTGCTCTAGAGTTTTTTGAAGATGTGACAAGCAAAGTGGATAAAGGGGATCTCTTATAGAAGTAGTATATCTGGACGTCCAGAAGGATTTGATAAGGTGCAGTAGAAAAGGCTAATACATAAAGTAAGATCACATGGGGTTAGAGGTTACTTATTTGCTTGCATAGAGGATTAGCTAACCAATAGAAAGTAGAGGTCTTTTTCTGGTTGGCAAGATGTAACTAGTGGGATGCTACAGGATTCAGTCTTCAGGTCCCAACTATTTACAGTCTGTATTAATGACTTGGTGCTATAATGAAAGAAAGTGTTGTAGTCAGATTTGCAGATGACACTAAAATGGGTCGGCAATGAAATTGCAATGGAGAAATAAGAAATTCGCAAAGGGATATGGATAGGTTAGGTGAATGGGCTAAAATTTGGCAGAGGAAGTTTCATGTGGATAAGTGTGAAGTTATCAATTTTCTTTGGAGGGATAAAAAGGGAACTTATAACCTAAATGGAGAGAAACTTCAGAGTACTTCAATGCAGAGGGATCTGAATGTCCTTTGCATGAATCACAGAAAACTAGTACACAAGTACAGCAGGTAATAAGGAAGGTAAATGGAATTTAGGCATTTATTGCTAAAGCAATAGAGTATAAAAGTAGGGAAGTGTCGCTGTAACTGTACAAAGCATTAGTGAGACTGCACCTGGAATATTGTGTACAGTTTTGGTCCCCTTACTTGAGGAGGAATGTAGTTGTATTGGAGGCAATTCAGAGGATGTTCACTAGACTGATTTGAGAGATGAGTTTGTCTTGTGAAGAGAGATTGAGCAGTTTCGGCCTACACTGTCTGGAGTTTAGAAGAATGAGAGGAGATCTAAATGAGGTATAGAAGATGCTAAAGAGTTCTGACCAAGTAGGCACAGAAAGGATGCCTCCTTATGTGGAGCACTCCAGAACAAGAGGTCATAGGATGAGGGGTAGTACTTTTTAAAACTGATGATAAGTTACTTCTCTCAAAGGGTCATGAATGTGTGGAATTCACTACCCCAGAGTGAGACGGATTCTGGTACGTTGTGTAAGTTTAAGGTAAAGAGGTTAAGTAGTAATGTGTTGAAAGGTCATTGAGAACAGGCAGGAGAGTGGAGTTGAGATCAGTGGAGCAGAGGGACTGAATTGCCTACTTCTGCTGCTAGTTCTTATGTTCTTGCATATTAGAATTTGTCAAGGAGGTAACAAGCAGCCTAGATAAAGATGAAGAAACCGGGAAACTATAGACCTGTGAGTCTGATTTCAGTTGTGGGTAAAATTTTGAGGGTGATTATAAGAGACAGGATTTAAGGACATTTAAAAAAGGCAAAATTGATTAGGGATAATCAGCATGGTTTTGTGTGAGGAAAATCATGTTTCACAAACTTGATTGAGTTTTTGAGGAAGTTACCAAAAAGATTGATGGCAGAGTGGTAGACATTGTTTATTTGGATTTTAGTAAAGCATTTGACAAGTTTCCACATGGTAGACTAATTAGTAAAGTTAGGTCACGTGGGATTCAGGATGAGCTTTCCAATTGGATACATAATTGGCTCAAAGGTAGGAGACGGAGAGTAATGGTGGACAGTTGCTTTTCGGACTCGAGACCTGTGACCAGCGGTGTTCCACAGGGATCGGTCTGGGTCCTCTTTGTTTGTCATTTATATAAATGATTTGAACAAGAAGATAGAAGGCATGGTTAGTAAGTTTGCAGACAACACCAAAATTGGCAGCATAGTAGACATTGAAGAAGGTTTTCTAAGATTACAGAGGGATCTTGATCAAATGGGTCAATGGGCTGAAAAATGTCACATAGAATTTAATCTGGATAAATGCGAGGTATTGTATTTCGGTACAACAAATGGGTAGGGCTTATACAATTAATGGTAGGGCCTTGGGTATTGGTGCAGAACAGAGAAACCTAGGGGTGTGGGTACATTAATACTTTGAAGTTTGCATCACATATAGACAGGGTGGTTAAAAAGGTGTTTGGCACGCTTGCTTTTATTGCTCAGTCCTTTGAATATAGGAGTTGGAAACTCATGTCCTGTACAACCTCAACATTGGTGAGGCCACTTCTGGAATACTGTTTCCAGTTCTGGTTGCCCAGTTATAGGAAGGATATTATCAAGCTGGAGAGGGTTCAGAAGAGATTTACCAGGATGTTGCCAGGTA